GGACCTGGCCGCCGCCGCAGCTGCGAGCACCGCAGCTGCTGCCGCCGCCGCCGCTGCCGCCGCTGCCGCCGCTTCTTCCGAGCGGGCCGAGCCGGCCGAGTGCGCCACGCAAGGAGCAGCGCCTGCGGGTGGCGCCGCGCCCGCCCCGCCCCATTCGGCCGTCGAGGAGGCCGACGCCGGGGACGTGACGGCGCTGCTCGACGCGGCGGTTCGCCGCGCGCTGCTGAGCGAGGCAGAGGCGGACAGGCTGACGGACGCGATCGCGTCGGGCGCTCGTTCGGAGGAGGAGGTCGCCGCCGAGTGGGAGTGGGCGGCGAGGCTGGCGCTGCCAACTGGTGGCGCCGCAGTCGACCCCAGGCCCAGCAGCGAATGAGGCGAGAGAACGGCGAGGGCTTGACAACGCTTGTGGCTTGAGGCGCCCGCCAAAGGAGGCCGCAGCAACGCTTTGTGGGTAACGCACGCAACCTCACTGATATCCCATCCCACCCTGGTCGGAGGGGGAGGCGTGGCGTCGCGCCCACGGCACGCGACTGACAACGTCCTGGTGCTCTCGGCCGGCTGCGGCGCCGCCCTCAAAGAAGCGCTCCAGCGCGAAGGCGCGGATCACGCGGTCGGCGCACACGAGGACGAAAGACATGCCATCGCGCGACAGCGCGAGGGAGCGCAGCACCGGCCCACCCGCCACCTGCAGGACATGTCGTAGGACATGTCTCCGACCGTCCCCCCTCGAGCGCCCCGCCGCCCTCCCCGCCCCGCCGCCTGCATCTCCGCGAGGCGAGCACCGCTCAAATCGAGCAGAGTGACGAGCCCCTTGCCCGAGCCGATGAGGACGCGCTCGCCCGGCTTGTCGAAGCACGCCACCAGCGGCGGCGGCTGTCTCCGCGAGCCGCCCGAGCCGCCCGCCGCCCCCTCCCCTCCTCCGCCCGCAGGCTCGTCCGCAGGTGCGTCCGGCGACAGCAGCGCGAGGCTTCGAGGGCCGGCGGCCTCCCAAAAGACGAGGGAGACCTCGCGTGAGGCGACGACCGTGGACGAGGAGCAGGCGAGGCACACGTCGCGCCGCAGCGGGTGCGTGCTCGCCCCGGTGAACTCGAGGTTCTCGCGCGCCAGCAGCTGCACGACGCAGGCGCCGAGCACATCCCAGACAGCGAGCCGGCCGTCGGCGCCAGAGGAGAGGAGACGGCGCGAGGACTTGGTCCACGAGACCGAGGTGACGGGCGCCTCGTGCAGCTCCAGCGTGCGCGCCACGCCGTGCGTCTCAAAGTCCCACACGATGACGTGGCCGTTGTCGCAGCCGCCAGCGAGCATTGAGCCGCGCCGGTTGAAGGCGCACACGCTCACGGTGGACGGCACCTCGAGCTTCGCCTCGATCACCTCGGGCAGCTCGTTGTGCGAGAAGGGGTCGAGCAGGGCGAGGTTCATGTGTGTGCGTGTGTCCGCCAAAACCAGCACCGCCCAGTGTAGTGGGAGATGTTATGGCGCTCAGGCTGGTAGCCCCAGCCAGGGTTCGGGCGGGGTAAGTGTTCTCGAGGTTCTCGAGGTGGATATCCTTTGGCCGCGTTGGGTAGGTGTCCGCTGGTGAGTTCATTGGAGGGTCATAACAAACACGGTACAGGATCGAGGTGCACGCTGCTGAAGAATTTTCGGGGACATTACGTGACGAAGGATGGTGGAGATAGACACATGGGACAAACACCCTCCCAAAGACACAGGCTAAGTGAGTGAGTGCGTACTTGTCATTAAGAGTTGCGGTCCGAGGCTCGGCCCGCATTATCGGATGTGAGATTGTGCGGCTAATAGACGACGACGACGCGCGGCCTGGCCCTGGGCCTGGCGCCTGGGCCTCTAGTGTAGACTCGGCGCCCAGCGATCGGCGTCGGTCACTGAACACTGTGCAGTGAGCATGGTATGAATCAGCAGGATTGCGCGCGTGAACGGGGGTGTGGTGGTGGGTGGGTGGGTGGAGGGGGGGGGGCTTATGCCCGGGAACGGTATAGTCCATTGGCTCAGGGATGAGACAGGTCAGCCCGACCCCACGGGGGACGGGGCCCATGTACAGGAAGACGTCGATGGCGAGATCCCGGAAGCCGTAGCCAGGGGTGTGGTAGCTGTCGAGATCAACACTGACGCACCGCCGGCGGTCGATTTCTGATCGATCCCTCTGGAACCGGTTGATCCCCCCGCGTTGTCCCGGTGTCCGGCCTGTGCCTGCTGGGAGCTCCATCTCCATCAGATCCGTATTACGGCAATACCAAAATAACAAACCCAACACATGTGTGTGTGCGCGCGAGACGTGCAGACAGGGGTTGCCAGGTGTGAGAGGCTGAGAGCGAATGGCGCGGTTTTATCACGCCTCGGGCCTCCGCACGCGGCCAATGGCGAGTGTCAGAGTGTATACACAGAGAGAGAGAGATGGCAGATGCGCTGTGTGCATGTTTCGTTGTTCTTTCTATGCTTTCGCCTAGTGGGAGAGAGAGGGCTGAAGGGAGTGTGTATCGGTATGGGCATCCATGTTCGAGGTGCATGTGATGAAGAACGGTCTGAGCAGTGACTGCTCTGGACACGACCACACAGCCTGACACAGGGGAGTGGATAGCTACGATTCGCCGGGTCTATCAAAGTCTAATCCGCACCGGTACATTAACTGGTCTCAGTGACCAGCAGCGAGAAAGAAGACTGCCAAATCATCACGGACGCTGATCATCTCCACTCGGATCAGCGCTGCTTCCGGCTAGCTGATTGTGCAGCAGCAGCTATCCGCACCGCCAGTGCCCGTTGTATTGGTGGACCTGTCCTCACCACCAGACCCATCGTCAGATCTCGCCGTTGCCTGTTTAGGTGGGGGACTGGGAGTAGGCGGACCAGCGTCCAGGAGATTCACGGACACCGTCGTGTACGTGTGAGTGTCGCTTGAGGCGGGCATCTTCCGAGACGACCAGCGGGCATGTACGTCGGCAAAACTCGTCAGAGTGAGGCTGCAGTCATGGCCAGAGGCGCTCTAGGTGTGTGTGGTCAGGCCACACCCCCCTTCGACGAAGCCACGAGGATGCGGCGGATCGCCGACTGCTCGCTTGAGCCGCAAGATCCGTCCCGGGAAGCCTCCACCAAAAAGTAGCGGGCGCCGGAGGGCTGCCAGGTGCGGCCGCGCCGTTGGGCGCGGCCGCGCTCGCTGCGCTGGTCTCGACGCTGTCGATGGCGGTGTCGCTGCGCTCGCTGGCTTCGCCCGGGGCCGCGGCTCGTTGTTCCTCCTCGCTCGGCGGCATGCAGTTGGTCGCCCAATCCAATGGCAGTCAGCCTTTTACAGCGACCGAGAGCCAGCCGCGAAAACTCGCACGTCCGAGGCCCTGGATGTGAGAGCTCTGCCGACTGCACTCCAAGTGCTCCAAGTCCGCCCAGGGCTAGGGCTCTCTTGCCCGCAACCCGATCCCGATCATCTGGCCCTGGGTGAGCTTCTTAGCCCCCCGGCCCTGGATGTGAGGCTGACTGATGACTGCACTTGAGCGCTTGAGCACTTGATAGGGCCGATCCGCGCATGGTACGGGACCCCGACTGCACTTCAAGCAAGTGTCCAAGTCCGGTACCATCGCCGGCATCCCTGCTAGGGAGAGAACCGTGTCTGAGAATGTCATTCATCAAGAGAAGAGAGAGTCCGACCACTCCTCCTCCGACCAAGACCGTCATGCGGCTCCGGCTCTTCTCTACCTCGACGCGGCCATCTCGGCTAGGTTCCGACTCCGGCTTCGGCTGGTAGTCGACAAGCTGCCGAAAGAAAGAAAGAAAGAACACAGACAACCCAAGGGAGGGATGGGAGGACGACGCGCTGCCGAGCCCAAATCACTGTGTGTGCCACATTTCTTGTTGGCTTCTGAAAATCTCTCTCTCTTCATCAAGTGACTGGCTGACAAGCCAGAGGTCGATACTCTGCACGACCCATTACCTACCACATCATCACGCGCCAAGTGGGAGGGAAGTGGACGGGGCCCTGAGCCGACCTAGCCCTAAACGGGAATGGGGCGCCCAACACGTGCCCGGATTACTGTGCCTTCCACGGGTGCAGCCTTTCGGTTCGTGAAGGGTCGGTGCGAGTCGTGCTTTCCTCGATCCCCCGCCCTCCCCCGCCATCTCCGCCGCTTTGGCTCTACAGCCTTACTTACCACCGGGAGGCGGCGAGGCGAAATCAGACTCGGTCGAGAGACCCCAGATTGGCATCCATGCCTTTCTGGACAGGGTGGCCCGCCACAACGACCCCTGGAATTGCGACTCGCCGCTTTCCTCCCGCTGTGATCCTGTGTGAGCTCCGTGTCTTGTTTGCCAACAACATACCTAAACAACTGCCTGTTGGAGAGGGAGGCAGGCTGGCTCACCGGAAGAAAAAAAAGCGGCCACGTGACGCCGATTGGAAGGACGTCTGGTGAGCACTCGCCGCCGAAAGACGCCGACGAAGGCGGACTCGTGAGCACAGGAATGGGCGTCTTTGGCAAAAAGAGCACGCCCGCAGGCACCACGGCCGAGGATGCGGACTTCGCCAGCAAGGCTGCGTCGATGCGCGAGGCGCAGGACGCGCAGCAGCTCAAGACCTTTACGCGCTGGTGGAACAGCGTCTTGAAGCCTCGCGGCGTTAAGATCGAGGACCTGGTGGTGGAGGTCAGCCCTGGTGTCAACCCGATCATGCTGTACGAGGAGCTGTCGGGCACGCTTGTCAAAAAGTACAGCAAGAAGCCGCCGTCGCGCTTCCAGAAGCTGGAGAACCAAAACATCTTCCTCAAGGCGTTGAAGGAGAAGGGGATCCGGCTGGTCAACATTGGCGCCGAGGACCTCGTCGACTCCAACCGTACGCTCATCTGCGGCCTGACGTGGACGCTCATCCTCCGCTACGAGATCCAGAAGTACGGCGCGAACGAGTCGGAGCTGCTGCGCTGGGTGGCTGGCCGTAGACGCACACGTAGACGCCGGGTGCAACGAGGGTGCAGGGAGGGTGGTGTGGCGTGGTGGGAGGAGGAGGCGTTCGGTGACGCGCCCATTATCTGCATCGCCTCAGGTCAAGGCGTGCACGGCGGGCTACAAGGGCGTCAACATCACCACCTGGGGCGACTCCTTCAACGACGGCCTCGCCTTCTGCGCGCTGCTGCACAAGCACGACGAGAACGTGCTCAACTACGACAAGAACAGCGACCCGAAGAAGGCGCTCGGCAACCTCGACACGGCCTTCACCGCCGCTGAGAAGCGGTGGGACGTGCCACGCCTGCTCGAGCCCGAGGAGCTCGCGGGTCCCGACCCCACCGACGAGAAGTCCGTCATCACGTACGTCGCCAAGCTGCGGCAAGCCTTCCTCGACCGCGAGGCCGAGATGATGCGCAAGCTCAAGGAGGAGGAGGAGGCGCGCAAGAAGGCGGAGCGCGAGGCCCGCCAGGCGGCTCTCAAGAAGATGGTGCAGGACCTCAAGACGGGCGTCGATGACTGGTGCGCCCGCACCACGCCCGCCGCCCGCCGCCGCCCGCCGCCCGCCGCGGCGACTCGGGGACTCACGCCGCCGCCGCCGCTCGCAGGAACAAGTGGACCAAGGGCAAGGAGGGCGATTTCCGCAAGAAGGAGGGCGAGGCGCCCTCCTACCCCGAGGAGCGCTGCGAGAAGGAGCTCGAGGGGCTCAAGAAGTTCCGGACGGAGAAGGGCAAGGACGACAAGCCGCCAAAGGCGGAGGAGAAGGCGCGGCTCGCGGACCTGTACAACAAGGTGCGCGGCGAGATCATGGCGGACGCGATGGACGCGGCCAAGGAGGGGTACCAGCCCGTCTTCGACGAGGGCGAGATCGCGGACTGCGCGCCCGAGGTGCTGGGCGGCAAGTGGAAGGACATGGAGAAGGCCGAGCGCGACTTCGAGGACGCGCTCGGCCGGCGGCTCGCGGACCTCGACGCGGCCAAGCGGGCCAAGGAGACGGACGACCTGCTCAAGGGGCTCAAGGACAAGGCGGACGAGCTGATGGACTGGCTCAAGGGCAAGAAGGGCGACATGGACGGCGACGCGCGCAGCATCGGCGACGAGGACGACATCGCCAAGAAGCAGGCGAAGCTCGACAAGCTGCTCTCGGACGAGAAGCCGCCAAAGCTGGACGAGACGGGGGAGCTGGCCAAGGAGCTGCACGCCGTCGCCGACCGGCTCGCTGCCGAGGGGCGCGACCCGCCGCCCGACCTCGAGGGCAAGCTGCAGGGCGGCTGGAACGCCTTCGACGACGCCGCCGCCGCGCTGCAAAAGGCGCTCGACGACGCGCGCAAGAAGGCGGCGCGCGACAAGGCGATGGCCGAGACGGACAAGCTTCAGAAGGAGAACGAGGACGACGCGAACAAGTGGCTGGACAAGGTGAACGACAAGGCGAAGGACTTCGAGGACAAGGTCAAGTCCGGCGACCTCGGCAACACCAAGGAGGAGGCCGAGAAGAAGCTGGCCGACCTGCGCAGCCCGTTCCAGTCGGACACAAAGCCCGAGTGGGGCAAGGAGCGCGGAGGGATCGACGCCGGCCGGCGCGCGGTCGACGACCGGCGCAAGGACGAGGACCGCCCGCCCGCCGACTGGAAGCCGCCGGGCGACGACCTCGACAAGGGCTGGAAGCGGCTCGGCGACGCGGAGCGCGAGTACGAGAAGGCGCTGCTCGACAAGCTCGGCAAGCTCGACGCCGAGGAGCAGGAGCGGCTCAAGAAGGCGGCGCGCAAGGAGAAGGCGCTCGCCGACATCGCCGACGAGCTGCCGCCGCTCGTGCAGCGGCGCAAGGTCGAGAAGGACGCCGCCGCCGCCGCCGCCGAGGCGGCGCAGAAGGCCGCCGACATCGCCGACTGGGCCCAGAAGGAGACGGCCGCTCTCCAGGAGCAGCTCGCCGCGCTCGAGGGCGACAAGGTCTCGCCGGCGGAGCCGCCGCTGGCGGCGCTGGAGAAGTTCTGCAACGGCGACAAGACGGCCAAGCAGGGCGACCTCCTCGACGCGCGCGCGGCCGCGTGCGACGCCATTGCGACGCGCCAGCTGCAGCGCGCGGGCGCGGGCGGCCCCGCCGACGCCGCCATCGCCGAGTCGCTGCCCAAGGCGGAGGAGGCGTGGGCCGCGATGGAGGAGGCGGAGAGGCGGCTGAAGCACGCGCTCCAGGACAAGATCAAGCGCGCGCAGGGCGCCAACCTCGAGTGGGAGCGGCTCAAGCGCGGCTGCACGCGCGTCGCCGAGTGGCTGGCGGCCTCGACGCCGGAGCGGATGCGCTCCGAGCTCGGCGGCACCGAGGCGGAGGTCACGGCGCTGCTCGAGGAGGCGCGCGCCGTCTCGGCCGCGCTGGGGCTGCAGATCGCGTCGGTCGCCATCCTGACGCCGCTCGCCGAGCGCCTCTTCAAGGACGAGGAGTACGCCGAGCGCGCAAAGGCGGCCATCGGCACGGTCGATATGCTGCCCTCGCTGGCGGCGCCGATGGCCGAGCGGGTGGCGAGGCTGGAGGAGGAGCTCGAGCGGCAGCGCCGGCTCACGGCGGAGCGGCGCGCCTTCTCCGAGGCGACGGGCGCGCTCGAGGCTTCCATCGTCGAGGCGGAGGAGCTCGTCGGCTTCCCGGTCGACACAGTCGACACGGCGGAGATCATCAAAGCGCTGCGCGAAGTTGGCGACAAGCAGGAGTCGGACCTGCTGCCGGCGCCCGAGGCGGCCGAGCCTGACGCCATCAAGCGCGCCGAGGCGGCGTGCGCGACGTGGCGCCAGCTGTCCTCGATGATGCCCCCGCGCGCGGCCGCGTGCGAGGCGGCGCACCGCGCCGCGCTCGCCGCCGAGAAGCTGCAGTGCGACTACCGGGAGGCGGCGGAGGCGTTCCGCAAGTGGCACGCCGGCGCCGTCGCGCTGCTCACGATGCCGGCCGGCGACGACGCCCGCGCCGCCGATGACGTGCGCAAGGCGGCCGAGATTGCGATCGAGCAGCTCCCCGTCGGCGAGGCGCACCACCGCGCCGCAAAGGTTGCGAGCGACAAGATGGCGAGCTACTCCATCGCGCAGAACCCGTCGGTGCTCACGCTCGCCCAGATGTCCGCGGCGCTCACGCAGATGCGCTCGCTCCTCTCGCTGCTGCAAGGCGCCGCCAAGCTCGCCCCCGGCAACGCGACCCTCCCGACCAAGAAGATCGTCGCGGCGCTCGAGGACCTCGCCGAGGCGACGGGCGTCTCGCCCGCGTCGCTCGGCTCCGAGTTCGGCCTGCCCGACGAGCACGTCAAGTTCCTCGAGGACGAGATGGAGAAGAAGAACGGGGCGCTGCAGCCAACCTCCTTCGATCCCTTCCCCGCCGACCGCAGCGCGGTCCCGACGCTCTCGCTGCCGACCATCCCGCTCGACCTGCGCGCGCACGGCCTCGCGGTCATCGAGCACGTCAACAAGGCGCGCAAGGAGCCGGAGAACCACGCCGACACGCTCGAGGCGGCGCTCTCCGACGCCTACGAGGGCAACCACCTCACCTGCCCGCCGTCGTGGGGCGGCAAGAAGCTCGTCACCGCCGAGGGCGTCGGCGCGCTCCGCGACCTCCTCAAGGCGCTGCGCAAGGCGACGGGCAACCTGCCCACCCTCCGCCTCGTCGCGGCGCTCGACGACGCCGCGCAGCAGGCCGCCGAGGAGCTGGCCGCCGGGAAGTCGCCGACAGACCTTACCACGCGGCTCAGCTCGCGCGGCACCTTCTCGGGCTCCGCGGGCGAGGCTATCGTCTACGGCGTCCGGCAGCCCGAGCCTATCGCCGCGCAGCTCCTGCTCTCGGACGGCGACGCTCAGCGCCGCAACCGCAGCTTCCTGATGAACGGCGACCTTAAGGTGGCCGGCTTTGGCCTGGCCGACCACCCGCAGCACGGTTCGGTCTGCGTGATCGTCTGCACCTCGCTCTTCGCCACGCCGATCGACAAGCCCATGACGGTCGAGTGCCAGGGCGAGGCGAACGACGACTTCCAGCGCGTCCTCGACGCCATCCCGTCGGAGCAGGCGCGCGACATTGCGACCGACGCGCTCGTGGTGGGAAAGAAGGTCAAGCTCGATTACGTGCCCGGCTCCATCGACATCACTGTCTATGAGCGGGACGGCTCCGCGCGCACGTCCAGCCTCAAGTGGGCCTAGCCCCGCAGCCCCTCCTCCCCACTTGCCCCGCTCGTCACGCCGTGGCCCAGCCTCGGCGGGGCTCTGTGCAATAACACTTGGAAGTCGGCTTGCGCCGCGAGGCGTGATTTTCCGGCGTGAGAGGGACCCCGCGGTGTGCGTTTAGAGACGCACAACACGAGAGGTGCGCGGGGAGATCTGGTGTGCATGTTGTGTGTGCTGTGCGCGGATGGTTTATTAACTCTGCTGGCGTGCCTCACCACGCGTCCCTTCCGCGCGAGGGGACACACACACACACACACACACACACACACACACACACACACACACACACACACACACACACACACACACACACACACACACACACACTGGGACACACACGGGGCCGCCGCACGCAAGAGTGAGGCCCCCGCAGGACGAGCCTGCGGGGACGCGCCACTATCTTGAGCTCTTATATAGCACTGTGCCCTGTGCGTCGCGCGACCGAGAGAGGAGGTCGGGTGTGACGATCGTGTGTACGCCATAGGAGGTGTTTTCTCAATAACAAGGTCTGTGCATAAAGCCGTAACTATGTACACACTTGAAAAAAGTCACACACGGCGCAAGCCGCTGCACAGCTGTCTGAGTGCCGCCTGCGCTGGCGGCGCCGGAGTCTCACGACCCGTCGAGCGACGTGAAGCATGGCTCGCCGCCGCTGCTGCGTGCCTCGCTAGCGCCCAGTTGTACAGGCGGTCATCGCAGAGCGTCGCCGTCGCTGCCACCTTTGAGGCTCCCGTGGGCAACATTGCTGCGCGGCCGTGCAGCGTCGCTGCGGGCCGAGTCCTCGAAGGCAGACTCTCTGTCGGTGGCCGCGGCTGGCCAGCGAGCTGGCGGCACGCATTCGGAGCAAAGGGCGGCAGGCTTTGGAAACCTGAACGCGAGGAGACTGCCGCCAGGGCGGTATCCATGTGCTCATAGAGTCCAACGACGTCCATCGACGCGAGGCGGCTGATCGCCTCTTGCACCGCGCACTCGCCGCGCTCGGTTGGTAGCGGCTGCTGCAAGTTGGTCTGGTTGGTTCTTCGCGCAGGCACAGGCGCACTAGACTGGCGCCCGAGAATAACGTGAAGGCTTCGGTCGTTATGCGGGCGTCGGCCAAAGCGCCTCCAGTAGCTCAGCGCCTGCGCCCTCGGCTCCCGGAGTATGGTGAAGAGGGTGAAAGTGCACTGCGCAGCCTCGTAGAGGGCACGCACATGGGCCTGGGACGGAGCGAGCAGATCCCACAGGTGCCAGTTCTGCGAGTGAATCTCGATGACAAAGCGAGACGCGTTCAGCGGCGGGAGGCGATGGCGCGTGCGGCACTCATGCTTCGGTCCGGACAGGCCCGCCACGCCCTGCCAGTGCTCGCGCAGGATGCGCTGCTGATCGCAGCGGTCGGCCATCCGCCATGCACCAGCGTGGGCGGGGAAGTTGCACGTCTCATTGCTGCAGACGCCACCCTCGCAGCTGCGGAGGCGATTGCGAATCCATGTGCCGCCAGTCCTCTCGATGTGCAGGAATACGATGAGGCCGCAGGGCGGTGCTTTTGGCTGGCTGCGAGCGCACAGCCGCGCGTGGAAGGTGGGACTCTGATGTGTCATCGCAGCACAGCCATCGCAGTACTCCACCGGCGGGCACGTCCACGCGACGATAAAAAATGCTGCTTATTAGCGGCTCAAACTCCCCGAGGGGGTCGTTCTGCGCTCCTGCTCCGAGCTCGTCGCAGCTCGGCCGAGCGCAGCTCGGACAGAGCGGCGAACGTGGTCAGGCCGGTGGCCTTGGCAACCGTTGCCGTCCAGACTCTCTGGACTTCCTTCACGGCCCACGCGGGCACTTGCTCTGCGCCCTGGCCAGAGATGCCACCGTCGGCGCGAACCTTCCCCGCCAAGGCGACCGGGACGACGCCCCGACGGCGCCAGAGAGAAGGGGCGAGCAGCGCGTCGTCGTTGAAGCGCCCGCGGTCCGCTCGCATCGCAGCATGCGACGTCATTTTGGCGACCAGGGCGACCAGGGCGACGTCCGCCTCGCAGCCCATGAAGGCGGCGACGCGCCGGATTGCCGCCGGTTTGTGCTGCACCACCTCATCAAAGAGCAGGAAGAGGACGTCCGGGTCGTGTCTGTGCTCCCACCATTCTATGAGGTCGGCGCAGTACGAGCGCAGGTATCGCCCATGTCCGTGGATGAAGACGCGACAGAAAGTCGACAGCGAAACGTCGTCGCCGGGCGTGAGACCGGAGAGCGGCAGCATAAAGTGGAAGGAGGAGAGCATCACGTCGACTGGATCTCGCCAGCACGTGATTTTCCTGCAAGGCCCACACCGACGCACCTTGCCCCACCCGCCGTGAGTTTTGAACACGCGCGGCTCGGCATCATGCGGCGCCCTCCAAGGGGGGCAGTGCTCCCGGTAGAGCCGCACCGGCAGGTCGATCCATGGCGTGTCTGTGATCTGGCTCCTCCCGGCTACTCGCGTGCCCTTTGTGCGCACGAGGTGGCAGATTTCGAGCAGGATAGTTGAGCCGCTCTTCGGAGGCGTGGCGACCACGACATCGTCAGGCTGCGCACAGAAAGCGGCCAGCAGCGCCGCATTGCCGTTGCGCGAGCCTTCTTCTTCCGCGGCGGCAGGTGCCTGCGACTTGCCTGAGCAGCAAGCTGCCGGACACCTCCCGATGCAGAAAGGCATGGTGCAGTGGCTAAGAGATTTGGATCGCCGCGGGCTGGCGACGACAACGTCGCCAGTGTCGCCAGGTGATCGCCCGGGCGCAGCAGACGGAGGACGTCCGTCCGGCACAGAGTGTTCACAGTGGCCGCCCCTTGTTACTCGTCGTACTTTTAGCTTAATGAAAAAAAGGGAGAGGCAGTAGGATGGTTGGGTTGAGTTGTTGTTGGTTGGGAAAATTGTCGCGTAAGCGAGCGGTGGCAGTCTTCTGATAAATGCAGTATGGAAGATACAAAGAGACGGAGGAGCAACGATCGGCGAAGGGACGGCTGCTGCGCAAAGTGATCAGTTCTAATGAATGTACCGGGGCCCAACGGATAGATGAATCCGGGGCACCCTCCGCTCGAATCCCTGGCCGGGGGTTCGAGGTGGCCCCCACCCTGGGGCCTCCCATCAAAGGGACTGCGGCAGAAGACGCCCAATCTTGCACAAGTGCAAGAACCATACGTCCGTCGGGATGGGGGGGAGAGATTGATTTGCTTGGCGTGGGTCGAAGGAGGGGAGAGGGTATCCTTCAAAGCCGGGGCTGGCATCGGGACGACCGGCAGCTACTTAGGACGTAATAGTTGTTGAGTAATAGCCGGCCCCGACGCCGTCGCACACCGCCTCCGCTGCCGCGCGCATCATGGACAAATTCAAGGACTTTTTCAAAGGCCTGCAGGAAAATGCCAGCAAATTGTTCGGAGGCAAGGACGTGACCGCCATGAAAGATGATTTGATGCGGGGCAACATTCCGGGCACTGAGGATCTGAAGGAAGCGTTTACGAGCGGCGACTACAGTGGCGCGTTCTCGAGCGCGCAGCAGTTTTTGGGGGACGCGGGGACGATCCTCACCGAGAACTTTGGCGACATGTCCGACATACAGAAGGCAGTTGCCGACGTGGCGAGCAAGCTGGACCTGGACATGCCGGAACTGTCCCTGGGCGAGCTGGAGAAGCAGGTCAGGAGCATCGACGTCGGGGATCCAGAGAAGTGGAAAGAAGATGTGCTCAAAGCTTTCGAGGAGAATGACATCAATGTCAGCGTGCTCGAAGGCCTGGACCCATCGGAGCTGATGAAGACCGTCTCCGATGGGTTTGCCCTCGAGGATATTAAAGAAAACATCCTGAAGTCGCTCGGCGACGAGGATCTCGTCGCCACCCTCAAGTCCAGGGACGTCGACGGGGTCGTGGACAAGCTCAAGGAGCTGGCGGCGAGTGGCAGCTTCCCAGAGATAAGCGTCGAAAACCTCCCGGACCTGACCGGGGCGCTTGCGAAGCTGCCGAAAGTGGCAACGTCGATCCTCTCCGACAATGACATCGACGTCTCGAAGGGGCTTGACGCGATCCCCTCATCGATGGAGAGGGGCATCGGCGTCATGTCAGATGATCAGATCGCCGACAAGTTTGACGATATCGATTACATGCTTGGCGACGTGCGCCGCACTCCGCGCGCGCCGCACACGCGCCGCCACCCGCTCACGACCACGCCCCCCCACCCCACCCCTCACAGTGGGACATCGAAAACGTCAAGTGGGGCCGCAAGCTGGCAAAGGACTGCGACGCCAAGTTTGGAGAGAACGGCAAGATGTGCGCCCGTCGGATCTCAGGTGCCAAAGACGCCGGCATCTCGTGCCTGAAGAACATGGCGCCCAACGCGCAGCAGTGCATCCAGGGCTTCTGCGGCGGCAAGTCATCCGAGCGTGGTCTGTCGACCGTCAATACCACCTCGCGGGGGGATTTCGACTTCAGCGCCATGGCTGCAGGGGCTGCGACGGACGCGGTGACTACTGCAACGGACGTGGTGACGGACGCCGCGAAGGATGCGACAACCGCTGCGGATGGCGCTGTGGCGGCTGCAGCGGACGCCGTGTCGTCAGCCTTGCCACCCGCGACCGCCGGGAAGCCTGCGGCGGAAGCGAAGTTGACAATCGATAAAGGACTGGCAGCCTACGTCAAGAAGATGAGAGAGCAAAATAAAAAAACCGGGACCTTTACGGGCAAAGCTTAACTTCAATGCTTTGGGACGCTACCCTGAGGCCAGACCGCTATTGCAGGAGCGGCCGGGCGCGCATCTCTGCGGGCCGTTGGGATGGGCCGACTTTAGAGGACGAGGTCGGACGAGACTTGTCTACTGGTGGGCGTCCAGCGCCCTTCCCGTCTCTTGCCATCACGCACGCTCTCACTCTGGTACTCTCGTCTCCTCTCGCGGTCGCTCGCACGGTCTACTTCGTCGACGCCGGCTGTCTGATAAACGCGTGTGCCCAGATGCCGCAGAACGCCCAGAGATGCCAGATGGTTGAACTGCCATCACATCTGTGTTGGGTTATTTTTTCCATCGCTGTCCTTTGCTACTCTCTCCCATCACCGTGTACAGTGTTTGTATCTCAATATCGGGGGGAAACTGGGGTCAGGCTCGCTCCGGTGCAACGAACCAAACCTCAACAGTGACTGCCGCCCGCCCACCCATCTCGGCGCCGCAGCCGACCACTTGCGGCGTGGCGAGTACGAGAGCCTGCCAAGCCTTGCCGAGCGCGCGAAGCGCCGGCACTACGACTCGGTCAGTCGAGCCAATAGCGTACCGTTCGTGCACGGGAAGCACGTATGCGAATCGCCCCGAGAGCACCTCCCATAGGCCCAGAGCCGCGGCGGGCCGCGCCACGTCGCTCGTGTCTGCGCCGGGACCGAGGGACGAGCCCTGCGCGCAGCGCGTGATGCGCACCCGCCATGGCCCAAAGCTGATCGTCGGACCCCTAACCGCGTCGGCGGGCGGCGCCGGCACCGCCTCGCCCGGCTGCATGTGCGGCGTGCGGACCCAGAGACGCCCCTCGTGGTGGCCTGCGGCGGGGGGCAAGCGACGGGGCTCGCCGCGAGGGCGAGGGCGAGCCGCGGCGCATCCCTCCACCCCCTCCCGCCCCCCGCCCCGCCCCGCCCCACCCCGCCCCGCCCCGCGCGAGCTGGACCCCGATAAGGCCTCGTCCTCTTCGCGCGCCTGGGAAGACGCTCGGGCGGAGGAAGGCGAGAGTGCCTGCCGCGAGCAGCACGCGGCTCTCCTTGCGGAGCGCGAGCCACCCCTCCCGCACGCGCGGCGCGCGCAGCCGCTCGAGGAGCTGCAGCACCGCCTTTTCGCCGACGAGGCCGATGCCGAGCTCCTTCTCGCACACGTGCCGCAGCGCCTCGCGCCAGAAGAAGAGCGGCAGGGCCGCGCGCCCCGCCGCGTCGAACCAGACGGCGAGCGGCGAGCGGCGGAGGCTGCTCCGGAAGGGCGCGTACAGCTGCGAGTCGATCAGCTCGCTGCAGAGGGCCGAGTCGCGCGCGAGGGCGGAGAGGTGCGTGCTGTACCCCTCGCCGTACACCTCTGCGAGCAGCGGCTGCAGCTGGTTGCGCAGCCTGCCGCGCGTCGACCAGCCGGGCGTGCTGTCCTTGAAGTAGGGGACGCCGTACCGGTGCGCGTAGTCGTAGAGGAGCGACTTTGGGTGCGGCAGCATCGGGCGCCAGATGAGGACGCCGTTGACGGCCGAGGCGGTGGAGATGCCCGCGATGTTGAGCAGCGAGGCGCCCTTCATCACGTTCGAGATGACGTTCTCGTGCACGTCGCCCAGGTGGTGCCCAAACAGGACGGCGCGGCCGCCGAACTGAGCCAGCGCCTGCCGGTACGCGTCGAAGCGGACCGCGCGGCTCACCTTCTCGTACTCGTCTCGCGAGGTGGCGCCGCGCCGCACCTCCTCCACCGTGCGCACGCGCAGCGGCACGCCGCGCGCCGCACACCACCGCTGCAGGAAGGCCGCCTCGGCGCCGCTCTCGGCGCGGTTCGTGTAGTCGATGTGCACCGCGCAGACGCGCCGCCGGTGGCGCGGCTGCAGCCGCAGCAGCACGTGCGCGAGCACCATCGAGTCCACGCCCCCCGAGAGCGAGACGATGAGCGCCTCGTCGTCCCGCGCCGCGCGGGTGGCATCGGCAGCCGCGGCATCGGCAGCCGCGCCGCCGGCTCCGTCTCTGGGTCGTTCCGCCTCGCAGCGCTTGGCTGCCGAGACCACCCGGTCACCGCTGTCTGTCTGCGCAGACGGGGGCGGCGGCGGCGGCGTCCCGTCCGCATCGCAGAAGGCGGTGTCGCGGAGGAAGCGCTCGACGGTGGCGGCGAGCGGCTCCGAGGCGGCGCCGGTCTGGTCGAGGGCCGCCTCGCGGTCGTCCCTCTCGAGGATGTCGTGCGGGTCGCCGTCGCCCTGCAGGTGCTGCAGCCGCAGCTCGGTCGCGCGGCGGAAGCGCGCGAGCGTCGCCGCCTCCGCCTCGCGCGTGCGGAGCGCCGCGCCAGTCAGGTCCATCGCCTGCTCCAGCCGCTCGGCGGTCGGCGAGTGGCGGAGCGGCATCAGAGCAAAGACGAGCTCGGCCGCCCGCAGCTGCGTGTGCCACCCGCGAGCGAGGAGCCGCTCGGCCAGCACGAGCGCGCGCGCATCGTTTGCGAGGACCGCGCCGCCGTCGCCTCGGTGCGCGTGGCGCGAGAGCTGATCGAGGAGGAGGACGAGCGCGAGGCAGCCGCGTGCCGAAGCCGCCCAGTGGTCCAGCTCGCCCCGCTCGGCCCGCCCGAGCGTAGCGCCGAAGCGTGCGCGCACCTCCTCGTCGAGGCGATGCAGAGCCGCAGACCCAGGCGGCACGAACCAACGCGTGGCGTACAGGTCGGAGGTGCCGTCGCCCTCAAACCAGAACCGCAGCACGCCTTCGAAGGCGGCGTCCTCGGCGTCCTCGCACCGCCGCCGCGACCACCTCTGAGCGAGGATGATGGTGCCAGCTGCCACGGCAGCGCCACAGGCGGCAGAACGCCACATGTGTGGTCGCCTGCGTGCGCGACAGTGACACGCGAGCGAGGGTGCCTAGATGAATACCGAAGATTTGTTAATGTTTTCAATGCGCCCTCGCTGTTCATTTGCGAGATATTCTCCCGCCATTCTCTCGCCATTCTTCCTCCCAGATCTCGTGCGTGTGTGGGCCCTTTCTTGGGGCCGCGCCTGCGGCGCGCCGTGGTTTCTTAGATTTTTGCGGAAATCGCTTGGTAGGGTCTCTTCTTCTTTCTTAATTAATGGTAAGGTTTCTTAATTAATGTGCCTCGGGCCAGTTGGGGGGGGGCAAACCCAGCCCGCCCCCTAGAACCCCGGGTAAGGCCCAGGTGTGGCCTAGGGCATCAGAAGGGACCAAGAGGAGTCCAGTCTGAGCCATAGAGCCCATGTCTTTGCCCCCGAAGGTCGTGTTCAAATGCCCGGAACGGACGTCACAGTGGTGTCCGGCCGGCGCGATCACCGAGCTGTGACGCTCAGGGAAGCCTGATGAGGTACTAGTTTCTTTGCCCAGGCCTGGCCTACGACCCATGCTGGATCAGCTGAGCAAGGTTTGGGGAGAATTACCCATTCAGATCTTCAGATATTTTGACGGATGACCAAAATCACCCCGTTTTTGCCCATTTTCGGTCGTCCGTCAAAATATCTGAAGATCTGTCCGGGGGATTCTCCCCAAACCTTGCTCAGCTGATCCAGCATGGGTCGTAGGCCAGGCCTGGGCAAAGAAACTAGTACCTCATCAGGCTTCCCTGAGCGTCACAGCTCGGTGATCGCGCCGGCCGGACACCACTGTAACGTCCGTTCCGGGCATTTGAACACGACCTTCGGGGGCAAAGACATGGAGCACTTGGAGCATGGGCTCAATGGCTCAGACTGGACTCCTCTTGGTCCCTTCTGATGCCCTAGGCCACACCTGGGCCTTACCTGGGGCGCTAGGGGGCGGGCAGGGTTTGCCCCCCCAACTGGCCCGAGGCACCTTAATGCCCGCAACAGACTGTAGCTCACGGTGCTGATGCACGAGAGCAAAGAGTTTCGCGCTCTCTTCCCGCGCATCGCCTACCTCAAGGGAGGCATCGATTCCGGCTTCAACCACGTCGAGGCGGGCACTACGCCGCCAAGCTGCTCCAGGACCTGGACCACCTGGTCCAGGTGACGAAATCCCTGCTCTAGCGGAAATTTTCTGTATATCGTGAATGATCGCCGATTATCGCCTAATATCGCGCAATATCGCGCAATATCGCGCAATATCGCGCACTATCGCGCACCCTCGCCCCGGCGGCGGTGACGGTGACGGGCCAGCATTTCTTTGTTTTCCGGTCGCGCTTCCCGCCGCCCACCCGCAGCCACCTTTCTCGCACTTTCGGCGCCCAGGACTGCCATCGGCGCCGCGCGTGAAGGGCTCGCGTGATCGCGAGCATCGCACAACATCGCCATTTATCGCATTTTATCGCCAAATATCGCGCGGTATCGCGGTTGCGATATTGTGAAAAATTTTCGTTAGGGCAGGGCTGACGAAGGTGGGGAGGCAGACCAACGTGATTGAGGTGGCGTGTGCCCGCGACTCCCTCAACCATGGAGATTGCTTCATCCTCGACGCCGGAGCCAGCATCTACGTGTGGAAAGGCGACGAGTGCAGCCCGTTCGAAGCGCAGATGGCAAACATGGCGGCCGAGGCGCTCGAGAGCACGCGACACGGCGGCTCGGCCGTGACGCACGAGATCGACGACGGATTCTGGGCAGCCTTGGGCGGAGAGGGCGCCATCGTGCTGCCAGAGCCAGTGGAGGTTGGCGAGGGCGTGCTGTTCCAGCTCTCGGACGCGGACGGCTCGCTGGGGATGAGCGAGGTCGGCCGCGGCGACCTCACCCTCGGCATGCTCGACACGAGCGACCGGTCTTCCTGTGCGATACGGCCCGGCTCTGCTAATCTGGATCGGAGGCGACGCCTCGCCAAAGGCGGTCGGCCGCCGCGATGGACACAGCCACAAAGTACTTGAAGCAGATGCAGAAGCCGCTCACTATGTGGTCTACTTTTCCATGTTTTGGGATGCCGTGGTCGTGTGGGGGTCACTCACGACCCGCACGAGGTAGGCGGCGCGCAGCGCCGCTCTCGCAGGCTGTTTTTGACGGTTCCACATTTTATTTTTGTTTTCAGTCTAGGGGGGGCCGACACCCTCAGAGGGGCGGGCGGGCGCCCAGTACCGTATACTGTAGTAATACTGACACACCCCCAGCCGAGTCCCGAGAGAGCGATCAAAAACGCGCTCGGCCTCGGGGGGGGGGTTAGTCTTCCGTCTTCGCGACCCGACGGGGGGCGCTCGAGCGGCCACGAAAAGAAACTCAGCGAAATCCGTATGCCGCGTGCGCGCGCACATGCGACGTAGTACAGTGAGCAAGATATGTGTGGGTGCATGTGCTACAACGTCACGCGAGTTCTTTTAGGCGCGGTGCCGTCAACTCGAGTAGCATCATCCGAGGGAGTGACTCCTCCGCGCAGTAAAAGGTGAGCTGCGCCTCGCACACCCGACGCAGCCGCTCGCTCCGGTCGCACACCTCGAGGCCGGCCGCCGCAAGCGCCTCCGCGAGCGCCGCGAACGTCTCCTCGCTCCGCCGCTCCACCACCAGCCACGCGCGCGGCGGGCGGGCGGGCGCCGGCGCTGCGGCGGTCGAGACTCTCAGCACCGCGCCAATCGTGTCGCAGAGGTGTCGGAGCAGGAGCGGGTCGTACGCCACGTCGCTGGCGATGACGAGGTCGACGCGCCGCTCACCGCCTGCGCCCGCCGGTGGTTGCGAGGGGAGAGCAGCCTCGCAGGCGCGCCACTCGTTGTCGCGCCAGTCGAGCGCCTCGACAGAGACGCGGCCGGAGAGGCGCGGCGCGAGGGCGGCGGCGCTCGAGGAGAGGCGGCGGAGCGCGTCGGGCACGAGGTCGGTCAGGGTGACGCGCTCCGCCTCGGCGCAGCAGGCGAGAGCGAGGCCGCACAGGCCCGGACCTGCGCCCAGCTCGAGCACTCTCGCAGCGGTCAGCTGCGCGGCGTGGGCGTGGAGCCAGGCGGCCAGCGCGGGCGCCGCTGGCCACAGTCGGCCGCTGGTCTCGACGCCGCCGCCAAAGGCGTCGCTCGTCTCGAGGAACAGCCGCGAGCCGCTTATCTCAAAGGTGACCCCCGACGGAGGGGGAGGCTCCGGCCCGCCCGCCGAGTCGGCGGCGAGGTACTCCACCACCAGCCCCTCGTCGATCTCGTGCCCGTCGAGAGAGCGCAGCAGCGCCCGCAGCACGCGACGCCGGTAGCTCCGGCACAGGCGCTGCGCTGGCTCGGCGACCACCATCATGGCAAGAGCGCGCTGCCCCGCCTCAGTCTCGTGCCCGGCGCACGCACGCACCACGGCGTCCACCGGAGCGGCCTGCAGGAAGAGCGTGCGGGCCCTGTCGAGATTGACGGAGCAGGACGCCATGGTCAGCTTTACCGCGGACCGCGTGTGGGGAGCGCGCGCTCGCGGGAACTTTCTTTTTTATTTTTATTTTTACGTCTCCCCCCCCCCCCCCCCCGTTCCCGCGCTCGTGTCATTCCTTGTTGCGGTGTGGGCAAAGGGGCGAGCCACAGGGGAAAAGAGGGGGCACGGAAATTCGGAACGCGCTGTCCGACCTCCTTCTCGGCCGGGGCCGGCGCTGTCCTCCTTCTCGGCGCCCGGCAGGATACACGTCCATGGACCTGGGCGCCCTCTTCGGTGGCAGCAGCGCACCCGCCCGGCTGCTGATCGAGCGGGACCAGTTCGTGCTCGACGGGCAGAACTTCACCGTGCGGGCTGGCTGCGTCCACTACTTCCGCGTGCATCCCGACCTGTGGGAGGACCGGCTGGCGCGGATAGCGGCGCTCGGTCTGAACGCGGTGCAAACCTACGTGCCGTGGAACTACCACCAGGCGTGGAACGCCAGCAGCCTCGGGCCCGCCCGGGTCGACCTCGACTCGCCCTCTCGCGACCTGCCTCGCTTCCTGCGGCTGGCGCACGGGCTCGGGCTGCGCGTGGTGCTGCGGCCGGGCCCGTACGTGTGCGGCGAGTTTGAGTTTGGCGGGCTGCCGGCCTGGCTCCTCCGCGACGGCCCCATCGAGCTGCGGACCGACGCAGAGCCGTACATGGGTCACGTCGAGCGCTGGTGGGGCGAGCTGCTGCCGCGGCTGCGGCGAGAGGGGCTGATGCTCGACGACGGAGGGCCAGTCATGCTCGTGCAGATCGAGAACGAGTGCGCCGCCAGCCTCCGCCCGCGTGTATTAGTCGCTGCCGGAGAAACCGCCCGGCATCAAAGCGGAGAGAGAGAGCAGAGAGAGAGCAGAGAGAGCAGACGCGGAGAGGAGCAGAGGGGAGCAGAGAGAGCCCTCCGCATATGCTACTTTCACACTGGTGTGAATACGTCCCGAACCCATACTTGGGACCCATAGCATATGCCAAGCCGCTCCACACCTCTCCCGCCGCCGCCCTGAGGTACGGCCACTTTGGCGACGTGTCCGAGGTCGAGGCAGACCGCCGCTACCTCGAGCGCCTCGCCGACCTCGCGCGACGCCACCTCGGCACTCCACCGCCTCGCCTGCCCCGCTCTCCAGCCGCGCCGCGCACACGTCTCCGCGACACGTCCATGGCATGTCCCGCAGGCGACGGCGCGCAGCTCTTCACGTCGGACCCGGACGACCTCGCAAAGCTCACGCGCGGCACCCTCTCGCCCTCCGCCTCTCGCCTCGGCTCCGAGGAGCGCCGCCCCCCCACCTCACGCTCTGAGAGGAGGAGAGGGCCTCACGCTCTCCCGCCGCCGAGCCGTCGCCGCTCGTCGCAGGTGCTCACGACGGTGGACTCGTGCGACGTGCCCGAGGACGCGTGGGCCGCGCAGCGCAGCTTCAACCCGCCCGGCCGCTCCCCCTTCTTCTGCTCCGAGCTCTGGGTCGGCTGGTTCGCGCACTGGGGCGAGCCCGCGCGGCCAAACCTGGCGGCACAGCGCGCGCGGGACGTCGCCGAGAGGCTGCGGCGCGTGCTGGCGGTCAACGGCGGCACCGGCTCGGTCTCGCTCTACATGGCGCATGGCGGCACTTCGTTTGGCTGGTGGGCCGGCGCAAACACCGCCGACGGCATGTACTTGCCCGACACGCCGTCGTACGACTACGGCGCGCCGATCGGCGAGGGCGGCGGGCACGGGCTCGACGAGGCGGGAGGAGACAAGTACGCGGCCCTGCAGAGCGTGCTGCTCGAGGCGCCGTCGGGTGGCGGGTCTAGCGTACCCTCGTCCTCGCCGTCCGCCTCTCGCCCCCCCCCCCCTCCCGCGGAGCCGCAGCCGCTGCGGGAGGAGCCGCCGCCGCCGCGCCGCCTCTCTTCCACGGTCGAGGTTGAGCTGCCCGAGGCGGTGAGGCTGATGGAGGCGGAGACGCTGGCCGCGCTCTCGGGCGGGGGGCGCTGCTGCGACGAGCTGCCTCTGCCGATGGAGGAGGTCGGGTGCGACTACGGCATCGTTGTGTACGAGACAGAGCTTCCCGCGGGCGGCGGAGGGCCGCTGCAGGTCTCGCGGCTGCGGGACCGGCTGCTCGCCTTTGTGGACGGCGAGTTCGTCGGCCGGATGTACCGGCAGCAGGGGTGGGGGCGCGCCGACCCAAAGGGGCTGCTGATGCCGCCGCCGCGGCCGTACCCGCGCACGCTGCGGCTGCTCGTCGAGAACTTGGGCCGCGTCGGCTTTGTCGACCTGCCTTGGTTCTCGCGCACCTTTCTGCTCGACCAGCGAAAGGGCATCTTGGGCGGCGTGTGGCTGAACGGCACTCTGCTCAATCGCACCGGCCCCGACGGGCAGGCAGGCTGGCGCACCCACTGCCTGCCCTTTGACGACGCCCAGCTCGACGTGCTGCGCCGGCTGCCGGCGCGGCAACCGTCCGGCCTGCTCGACACCGCGGGCAGCGTGGCGCTCGGCGCGGGCAGCGTGGCGCTGGACGCGGGCAGCGTCGCTGTTAGCGTGGCTGGAGCGATGCTGCACCTGGCGCAGGGCAGCGATCGGGACTCGCCCCCGTCGCTGCCGTCGTTGCTGCCGTCGTCGCAACCGCCCAGCGCCGCGACCGCCACTTTTTACCGCGGCGCGTTCGAGCTGCCCTCCGCTGATGCTGGCGCCGACGCCTGGCTCGCCCTCGGCGGCGGCTGGGCGCATGGCACGGCGTGGGTCAACGGCTGGCACCTCGGTCGCTATTGGCTGCCAGAGGGCCCACAACGCTCGCTCTATGTGCCCGGGCCGTTGCTGCGCGAGGGTGGCAACGAGTTGCTGCTGCTGTCCCTCGACGTGGCGGAGGCGGAGGCGGACGGACAGCCGCGTTGGGCGCGCCTCTACCCCTCTCCCAACCACACGGGCGCACGCTCAGCTCCGCAAGAGACGGCCGCCGCCTCCTCGCGCCAGCTGCAAATCTACTCGTACGCCGCCGCGTACAGCGCCACCAAGCTCACCTCCGCCAATGCACGCCACGCTGTCGTCGACGCCTTCTCTCACCTCGAGGGCCTCTTGTCGCTCGGATCCAAGATCATCCGGCTGCGGGCCCCGGCGGAGCCCGCCGCCCAGCGCCCGTCCGCAGCACCAATCGTCGCTGCGATCGCCGCAGCGGGCGCTCTCCTCGCGCTCGTGGCCGCCGCGTATGTATTTCGTGCCGGCCGCTTGCGGCGGCCGTGGCGGCGGAGAGATCGCGCCTTGGCCCGTCGTTTTTTTCTTGTGTGAGGGTCACACCGCACGATATCTTTCGGTTCGCACTTCGCCCTCACAAAAGTTCATACCTTACCATACCTTATCTTACAATGAGAGACAGTACAATGAACAGCAAACATGTGAGCGAAAAATGTGTCGCGAGCGTAAGACTAAGAGAGACTCCTGACCTCCACACCTATCACCTTACACCCTGAGCCAAGAAGCCAAGAGCTCATCGAGCGGGTGACCCGGCCGCTTTGACCACGGCAAGCGGCTGCTGTCGCTCGACCCGCCTCCCGGCTCCTCCCCTACAGTGCTGGCGGGCCGCTTCTGGCGGCAACAGTACCAAACGAGGAGCCCGATGGTGCACAAGCCCACCAGGCCTCCGACGACGCATCCAACGATGAGGCCAACGTCCGCCCCTGCCCCGTCGCTGTTTTTTGGAGGTGCTGAGGGCGGCGTCACAATCATCGAGGTGATCGTTGGGGCCTTGACATCGACCTTGCGACCCAGAGCTATGGATAGTGCGTCCATGAACTTTTGAGATCTGATTGCATCAACTACCTCTTCCGCCGATGCCTCGTCCGACTCGACGATGACCACCGACCACTCGTCGATGTCAGTCTCCACCAGAGTGTCGACTTGCTGGGCTGTGATGTCGACACCGACAGAGGCGAGGCTCGAGACGATGGCATCTCGTACCACGCCCACCTCGAAAGAGGCCAGGCTTCGCAGTCGCCGAATTTCGTCGCCGACGTCGAAGGACCACGACACTATCCACAGCGTTTGTGTGCCGGGCACCAGAGGAGGCAACAGCGGCTGCGGCGCCATACCTGGAGAGTACGGCGGTTGTGGCGGGGGCGCAGGTGTAACACCGGGTGGATACGGCGGCGATGAGGGCGGCGGCGGTAGGGGTGGCGACGAGGGTGGCGACGAGGGCGGAGGCGTTGGCGTGGCGCCAGGCGGTAAGGGCGGAGGCGCCGGAGTCTTACCGGGAGGATAGGGTGGCGGCGGTGGGGGATGTGTGGGCGCCTTACCGGGCGGATGAGGTGGCGATGAGGGCAGTGGCCGTGGTGTAGCGCCAGGTGGGAATAGTGGCGGCAGGGGCACCATACTAGGCGGGTATGGCGGCGGCGGCGGCGGCGGCGGCGGCGGTGGCGCCTTACCAGGCGGGAAGGGCGGCAATGAGGGCGGAGGAAGGGGCGTGGCGCCAGGCGGGAAAGGCGGCTGGAAGGGCGCCATGTCGGGCGGATACGGAGGCAGCGTTGGACGCGGTGGCTCTCGGGGTGGCGGCCCAAGTGGCGGGGATGACGAGGGTGGCGGCGTCAGTGGAGGCGGCGGCGCCATCGGTGGTAGCCCAGATGGAGGTGGCGGCGAAGGAGATGCAGGTGGTGGTAGCGTGGGCGGTGACAGAGGCGACGGTGGCGGCGGCGCCCGTGGGGGCGACGGTGCTACGATGATCGGTCCGATGGTGGGGAGTGTGACGGGAGTAATGCCAAGTCCCAAAGCATCCGCCATCGCGCTCAGAAATGCCTCGGACTCTACCGCTTCCGCAATTGCCTCCGCCGATGCCTCGTCCGACTCGACGATGGCTACTGACCACTCGTCGAGTGCAGTCTCCACCAAAGTGTACACTTGCTCGGCCGTGATGCTGACATTAGCGGAGGTGAGACTCGAGATGATGGCACTCTGAACTGTGTCGCGCGAGGCTGAGGTTGGCATCAGCATCAAGGGTGAGGGCGGGGTCGGGGGCGAAGGTGGTGTTGCGTCGGGGCGAAACCTGCGTCGGGGCGAAACCTGCGTCGGCGAAGGTGGTGTTGCGGTGGTCAGTGCGGGTCCGACTGCAAGGCTTTCGCAGTCATCTTCGAAGCGGAGGGACGAGCCATAGCCGGCAATACCCGCGTAATGGCAGTCGCCTATCTGAACCTGCTGTTGTACAGGTCGGAGGAAAATTCCAACGTTGTCGTCGCACGTGCCGCCACTGTAAGTTGTCAGCAGCAGCTGGCCACCCTGGCATGAAACCTTTGACCGAATCGTAGTACCTCTAAAGCTGAACGATGCGATGCACTCTCCCACGCTGTGGCTGCTTTGAGGGTCGCCGGTGCAGTTATTGGTGGAGTACAAATGGACGCCTCTATGCGGCGGCGGCAGGGGCGGCGACGGTGACGGCGGCGAAACCGGTGACAGCGGGAGGGAAGGCGATGGCGGCGACGGCGACGGCGGCGACGGCGACGGTGGCGGTGACGGCGGTGCCGGCGGCGACATCGGCGACGGCGACGGCAGCTCGATAGGGAACAAGTGAGCGCAACCCTTGACCGAGATGAACTTGCTGTAGTATGAGTACGGCTGACCACCGATCGTGTAGCTCACAAGTGTGCATTCGCCCACGGACAAATTTCCGCTGAAAACCGTGCCTCCGCCGCAGCTCAAGGCGGAGTCAAAGACCTTGAGGCTGACGGTGTCTGCCGACACGCACGCGTAGACCTGTGAGTAAACGGCCAAGCACATACCAACGGCCGCAACATCGCTGGGAACATTCGCAAACGACAGGTCAAATGTGTTGTTTGGGACCGCGACGGCGCAAGTAGCATCGGTGTAGACGTCACCCTCGAAGCCATAAGTTGTCGAGCCCATCAGCTCAAAGCACCCGACGGTATACGATACGTTACCGTCTGGTGAAGTGACACAGACGCCATCAGGCCCTAGAGCCCAACCTTCCAAATTGTTAAGCTGTCTCAGAATAAGGTCCGTGCCGGCACATGCGGCGGGCCCTGAGAGAATTCCGCCGGCGACAAGGTCTGATTGTTCGATGTGCTGCGTCTCAAAGTTGCCCGTGCAAGTGCTACCTAAAAACTTGCGGACAGCAGGAACGACATCATACGCCCCATGGGTGTCGGTGCCTGTTCCGGAGACGTTGCCATTGCCGGTGTAGGTGTCAACGGCACCACACGCGCCATAGCTGTAGTATAACGCCGGCCCGTCAATGTTATTGAAGTAGCTGCCGATAGCCGCATCTTCGCACGCCGAAGACACGTAGCACCATGGGCTCTGGCACCAGGAGGCGTTGCAGCTCCCGCCGCCAAGGCATGTGCAGTAGTCCATTCCTGCGTCCCACGCCGCGCAGAAGTCGCCCATTCGCCGGGGGTAGTAGTCCTGCGAGTTTGCCTTGCCCTGATTACCGGTGCAAGCGCACGAGTCAATCGGCCCGGCTGGGTCCAGAGGGGCGAGTCGTGCGTTGACGGCTGCAGCGGTGGCAGTAAACGAAAAGAAGACTGCCCTCAGTTTGTGTTGGCCGGGCACCAGCGGAGGCGGAGGAAGGAGAGGAGGCTGCGAGGGAATTGGCAGCAGTGAAGGGGGCGGTGGCAGTGGACTCGGCGACTGTGGCGAGGCTGGCGATTGCGGCGAAACCAGCGACGGGGGCGAAAGCGGTGGATGTGGTGGAGCTGGAGCAGATCCCCAGCAAACCTCCCAGCCGCGATTGGCGATGGAGGAGTCCGATCGCCAATGGATTGTACCGTTTTGCGCCACACTTCCCCCTGGGCCTGAGGTGCCGCAGTATTTTACACCCCCCACCGCAAGGTAGTCAAACAGGCAGTGCAAAAGCCCAGGCTCCACGTCAAAGGCTTCGACTTTCAAAGGGACTGGCGGTACGTTGGTGATGGTGCAGTTTTCGTCGTCGCTGTAGTCGCTGGAAGGAAAGCCCGAGCTGGCGACACAGGCTCCGTCGTTGGTGAGTTTGCATGGGCCAAGAACCACAACGGATGGGAGCGGGCAGCGCCTCTCAGCCGCGCACTTGTAGCGGCCGTCGATCTCCTGGTATTTACAAGCAGCGCACCCGCCCGAGCAGTCCGGCACGTAGTCGTCCGGATAGTCAATGTCGTCGACCGGGTCGAGGTAGTAGTTCTCGCACGCGATGCGGTCCTCCTCGATGTACTCTACCGTGGTGTAGTAGCGGCCGGTGATCGCGCTGTGGCACCAGTCCCCGCCATCCTCGCCGAGGAACCCGTCGAGCCTTGTGCGATTTACGGTGAAGAGGCACTCGTGCGCCACCGGTGCCGGTGATGGGGACTGGGGCGGTGGCGGCGGTGGCGGCGGCGGCTTGGGCGGTGAGGCCGGCGGTGACATCGAGGGTGGCGGTGGCGATGGCACGAAGGTGATCACTTCCTCGTCACCTGTGGGAGCTATCGTCGTCTTGACGCTACCGTAGTCGATCTGCATCGCCTCTCGCGGCGTGCCCTCGGGGAAGAGCACTCGAGCGACCAGCCCCGCCGGGTACGACGGCGCTGGCGACGTGATCTCGCCGATGCCAAAGAAGAAGCGGTCAGGATCCTCGTAAATGTCTGCTAAAGCTCCGCTTGTGCTCACAGTAGAAGTTGCGACGCTCTCATACTGTGCGTGGAATGCGACACTGACCGAGGAAAAGGCCATCGATACGTAGATCTCCATCGCCCTTCCGTCGACCATGCCGTGCAGCAGGACCACTGGACACCGCCTCCCCGCCTTGCACTGATACTTGCCCTCGATGTGACGGTATTGGCAGGGGGCGCACCCACCCGAGCAGTCCGGCACGTAGTCGTCCGGATAGTCAATGTCGTCGACCGGGTCGAGGTAGTAGCTCTCGCACGCGATGCGGTCCTCCTCGATGTACTCTACCGTGGTGTAGTAGCGGCCTCTGAGGGCAGTGTAGCACCATTCCCCGCCATCCTCGCCGAGGAACCCGTCGAGCCTTGTGCGGCCCAGCGTGAAGTCACAACCATGAGGCTCAGCCGACGGCGGCTGCGGTGGCGAGGGCGGCGGCAGCAGAGGCGGCGGTGGCGACGGCTGGGATAGCGGCGGCGAGGGGGATGGTGGCGGCGGCAGAGGTGGCGGTGGTGGCGGAGGCGGCGGTGGCGGCGGTGGCGGTCGCGGGGACGGTGGCTTGGGCGGTGGCGGCGGTGGCGGCGGCGGCTTGGGCGGTGAGGCCGGCGGTGACATCGAGGGTGGCGGTGGCGATGGCACGAAGGTGATCACTTCCTCGTCACCTGTGGGAGCTATCGTCGTCTTGACGCTACCGTAGTCGATCTGCATCGCCTCTCGCGGCGTGCTCTCGGGGAAGAGCACTCGAGCGAC